CAGTTTCTTCATTAACCAATGAAGTTAACCAATCTTGGACGGATACAACTAAGTGATCATCTGGTCGAATTTTATTTCATTATGTACTTTTACTTCACTGATCCTGATGCCAAAAATTGGGCCTTTCCTTTCTTTTCAATTTTTTTTTTCAAAATCTGTTAATTAACTAAGATTTCCTGTAAGTCTTAGGAACTTACCGCCATGACGACTAGGCACAGGAACATGCTTATTGCTGCCTTAGAGACGAGAAACCAGAAAAACCGGAATCGCTCCACTGGAGAAAAATTGAATGTTTTACACTCGCTCCTGAAAAATACAAAACAGATCAGTCTCAGAACAGAAACGTTGTCCAATTTATCAAAACCGTCGAGATAGTGCTAAGGGCGAAGCTCGCCACATGCTGAAGAACCCGGACCTTTTAAATTTTTTAAAGGAGGATTGCACGGAAAGAACGAAGGTCGAAGAAGGGAGAAATCGCCTAGTGGGGAGAGCGGTGAATCTCTTGAGGGTGCGGACAGACACGCAATCGGCATCGAAAGATTTGACCTCTGAGATCTAGCATGGCTCAAAGTTGGCGAGTTCGGCGATCTCCGCCCACCGATCGTCTGATCACTCGCCGTAGTACAATAGGTGGCGAGTGATTAGATAGCTGAGAGAGCGTAGGGTTGAAGAGGGCAAAGCGATGAGAGTCCCATCAATGCTCAAATCAACGGACAAGGAAGGGGTCCCATTTCTCCGGTTCTGGGCCGTTTTTCGTGGTTTCGCTTTCTTTCTGGTACTACTCACCATCTCTACCTCAATTTGGAATGGGTTGCTTTTCCATCGTAAATTCGTCCTTTAAAGCAATCGAGAGGAATCTCATTGGAAATAACTTCGTATAAAGTTTTCGTGCATTGATCAAACCTCTCCGGAATGCTGCACATGCATGCATTCCGCTACAACGCAGAAACGATGACGAGTTGAGCATGTGTTTTGGAACATAGAAACATATCATTATTTACGCGTAATCGATATAGGATAGAGACCGCGTACAAATGCTGCACACGCGGTGCGAGTTTGCACCAAATCACAACCAAGGTATGGGAGACGCTGGAGCGGCTTCAATGGATTCGAACTCTGAAGCAGGGTCAACCGTCCGTTCGAACAGTTCGAACGGGGGGTCGCATTTGGGCTCTGGGAGGGAAAAGGGGGTCGCATTGCGCGCGCTTTGGTCATCAGGCAGGGCAGAGGTGTGTGTGAAAAAAAGCAAAAAAGTTGCCGTTTCAGTGGTTGTATATACCCCCCCCCGCTCGACGGCTATTTTTGGGGAAAAAGTAGGCGGAGTTTCGGAGTTTTAGGTAGGTTTTGGGCTGTGTCAACTGGTCTCAGAATCAAATACTATAGAAGAGGGAGAGGTCGCGGTGGGGGAAGGCTGGTTGTATTGGGGGGTCGCAACTTGTGTTGGAGGGGTCGGGGTCGCAAAAATCCCGAAAATGTTCGAACGTGACGGTTGACCCTGCATCAGAAAATTAGCCCTCCCAGCCATGTAACACACTTTGCTGCTAACAAGGAACGGTCTTTTCAAAACCATGAGCGTTTTTTTTCAAAAATATGTTTTCTTACTTTCAAACATGGAGCGTTTTTCAAAATAATTTTCTGAATGTTGTAGAGGCTCATGTGAGGAACACAGAACCATGGTTCATTTTTCTTGAACGCCCCGGAATGTCAAAACAGCGGGGAAGAAATGGTCCAAAGTTCGATCCTCCGTGATGACAAATTTTTGCAATTTATGTTGGCGCCTCCAAATTGCCTAAAAACACGAACAATCGACATCTATTCTCTACGATGGCGCTTCTGGCAGCAATCTGGGCGCGCCAAAACTCTATTGCATAAAATTTATTAAATCGCCGGGAATCGAACTCTGGACCACTTCTTCACCACTGTTTTCACGTTCCTACACGTATTCAAGAAAAATGGATCACGGTTCTGTGTTCCTCACGTGAGCCTCTACAAAATGCAGCTCGTGAGGCCCCGCCCTTATCGTGAAGCCTTGCTTGGATTAAAAGTAATGGAAACATTGCGCATACAGAAGGCTCAGATCTGTAATCGAACGTAGCTCAGTAAGAACCCCAAACAAACTCCCATTCAGACTTCCACTTACTTCACGTTCCAAAACATATGGTTCTATTTGATCCAGAATTCTCCACCACTGCTAATGTTTATCTTTGCTCGCAATATTTGCTCGTTAGTCTTGGGCGTGGTACTCAAAAATTCGCGCAATTCACTTTTAAGTGCAGAAAACAAGCACAGACGTGAAAAAAGAGAAACATTGTTGAACTTAGGGGGCTGTACTGATCTTGAAGGGAGAGAAATGGGCTGACGGTATTCCAGTGACTGTTTTTGAGCCATAGGCAAACGACCGGGTGAGCGGTAAGCGAATAAAGACCGTGCCAACCTCATCAGAGGGCTATTACACAGACCCATTCAAGTTTACTTCTACTTATTCTTCTTTCTAGCGTTGTTGTTCCAAGTTTTCCCTCCAACGTTTTTCAGCAGTCCCGGTTCAAGGAATGAGCAGTGGTCACGCATACAGCAGTCATATCGTGTTTCAGGTTTTAGCTAACGCTTCCTGGGCCCCCCTTGGAAGCGTAACGATGAAGTTCAAAGCAAGAACCTCAATCTGGATAATCAGAAGAACAGCTTCAATAATGAAATTGTGAAACTATGTTGACCGAAATAAAAAAAGCAAAGGAAAAACCAGCGAATGGAACTTCACAACGAGGACCTTCTCTCCTCTCCTTTGCAAAAGAAAAAGGCGTGCCTAGACG